TGGTTTGCTGGTATGTTGGAAACTTCCGGGTTTATGGGACTGGGGGTTGGTTGGTTAGGGGCCTTATTTGTGGCTTCCACTCGCCTGGGCGAATCGCACTGAAGTAAAACGAGCTCCTGGAAATTATGTGTTTGCCTAGATGCGTTAGCGAGAATCACCTGCTATGGATCTTTGTAGACCGTGTGGTTGACATCGTAAGTGGTGGGGTGATGAGTTTTAATGAGATATCCATGAGAATCATGATGCCCACTGCGCGACAGAGGAGATTCAAAAGGAACAGTATGCATTGCTAAGCGTTCAGGGAGCTGGGATTCAAGCTTCTGGCACGCTGGCAATTGGAGAGCTGAGTCCGGCCTCAACAAGTTTCCACCTGCATCAAGAACCCAGTTCGAGGTAAAGTCTGGCTGATCGCCTCGTAGCGGGCGCCAAGCTGTCGAATTGGCTCGTCTCAATTGGTCCTCAAGGTGCCCCACGGGGAAGAGTCTGGAAATCCACGAAACGCACCAGTCGGGTACCAACCGGTTTTGCCCAGTCACCCCCGGACAAACCAATCAGAACCTGGAACCCACGACCCAGCCATCGCGTGAATTTGGGAGCCAAGTGCGGTGACGAAGGCTCGGCAGTTTTTTGTTTTAACACGAATGAAAGGGCGAAAGGGGGTGACCTAGGTGACCTATGACGATACCTTTCTTTAAGTTCACTTGATTGAATGACAGGGAATCTCGCTCACATTTCTTCTTGCAGGTACCGGCGGTCACCCCAAAATGTTAGAAGGGAAGCAAGCACCAGGGAGTCTGAGAGCCACCTCCCAACCCCGCCCCCCCAAAAAAAAACAAAAATATGCAAGAAAAACTGCAACACCCGACTTGGTGCCAAGAAACCCGATTCCCCCCCCACCCACCCCCAAATTTTCTGGAAGGAAGCCAAAAGGTGCCATGAATCCACATTTGACACATTCCTCTTCTGGAACCTTTAATGACAATATTCTTTGTCAAGGTGCGCTGAGAATTTGGATTATTTTCTTTTTGATGGGCTCTCAACTCACTGTCTCAACTACTGGTTAAAGTTAGAGATTTTGGGGGCCACACGTTGCAGTCGATGTGGGCTTACTTGAGGACCATCACACCCGGATCCGCTTAGGCCGTGGCTCCCAGATCCGCTTCCGGAGCGGGAGCTAAGCGGCACTGCGAATGAGACCTCAAAGCTGATCTTGGGGCAACCTGGCGTTCGTTTGGAGGGATTTTGGTTGTTCCGTCGGTGAGTGGGGGAAGGTGTTAAGCCTTGACCGGGGTTTATTTTAGGTGTTGGCGGTCAAAGACTGTATTCAGCAGTGTTTTTGGTTGGTTTATTGGCTGATTTGATTGGTTTCAAAGACTTTGGTTGATTGGTCTTGTTTGCTTCTCGTGTCTAGACTGTGCGGCCTTGGCTCACAAGGGCTGGTCTTTCTTCGTCGCGCGTTCACGTCGGCAAGAAGAGCGAACGGACAAATGCCCGACCCACAGGCTGAGGGGGAAGGCTGCCCCATGGCCCCCCCTCGGCCCAGCAGAAAAACTGTTTACAGCTGCGCTGACTGCCAAGAGCCGAGTCTTCCGGTCTTTCCGAACCGGAAATCAGCACGGAAGTTAGAAAAGGCTCGGCGATGGGAAGGGATGGTGCTCGCGCGACGTGTAGAGACTTCCAATTGTGTCATTGGGTTCACGTTCAGAGTGCTTGTCTTTTCGACATGACATTTACCAAGTTCAGACAAAGGGCCCTGGCCCAAATTGCAAGGATCGAGATGCCACATGTTGCCCTCACATCTGAAAGTGGGATCCCTATAATGTTATGTTTGGTTGGAAGGGGAAGTTTGAGTTGGACGAACGGTTCACCTTCCTGTCCATGACGGCAGCACCAGAAGCTATGCCGATGCATATATTTCTGGGCAAATCACGGCGACCTCGCGAGGGGATTTGGTTTGAGACCGATTTCACCCATGATGTATTTAAGAAGCCAGCATGCCACAACATGCGCGTGTTGGACGACTCCCTGCCGATGGATGATGCCCAGTCGCATATGTAATCTGCCCCAAATGGAACAGGGCTGGTTCTTTGCTGGTAGGAGATTGATTCGGCTGAAAAACGACAATGCTTCATGCTGCCGGCCGGAGTACTTGGACATTGACATGGTTGTGAGTGTGTGTCTGTTCGATTGTGTTTGTGTTTGTATTTGCGTGCGTGCGTGCGTGCGTGCGTGCGTGCGTGCGTGCGTGCGTGCGTGCGTGCGTGCGTGCGTGCGTGCGTGCCTGCCTGCGTGCGTGCGTGCGTGCGTGCGTGCCTGCGTGCCTGCGTGCCTGCGTGCCTGCGTGCCTGCGTGCCTGCGTGCCTGCGTGCCTGCGTGCCTGCGTGCGTGCGTGCCTGCGTGCGTGCGTGCGTGCGTGCGTGCGTGCGTGCGTGCGTGCGTGCGTGCGTCAAAGCCAGGGACCGCCTTGATTTCTGAGCAGATGCTCTCAAATTGGGGGCGTGGACTGATCAATCTCCCAATGCCAACATGGGTTCGTGTTGTATTTTACGAGACTCTTCGCATGGGGAGCCCTTTGACCCAAGAAGCAAGGGCTGAGCTCCGGACGACTCGTCTTTGAGACGAGTGCACTTTTGGAGAAGCGGGAAGGCGTCACGCTAATCTTCCTCAACATGAGTATCACCGAAAGGCTATTGCCGATACCGCTGCTGGTTTCATGTTCTCCGTTTTTGGGACTGACTTTGGACATAGGGCTTGAGATGAGCCACAATCAAAACCTGGGTAGATGAAGGTTAATCAGTAAGGGATAGTCCCAACCATAAACAGGGTGGTGCCGGTTCTGGGTAGACCACTTTAATGCCGGGTTTTGATTGTGACTCAGATGACTTGAGCACTCCAGTGAAGGCAAAGCACGCACTCGCAAGGCTGCGCTTTGCTCGTCCATCCGAAGCCGACGCGGAAAGAGTCCTTGCAAAGCTGCCTGAGTCGACCTTTGGTCAATGATGGACAAGGAGCATATTTACATCTTGGGTTTAGGTTTGAACCACCAAGTTGCGGAGTGCGGTATGCTAGTTGAAGCGAGGTCAGGGTAGGGACAGTGTCAAAGCAGTCAGGGATGGCAATCGGCATCAGTAGGTGTATTTCCTCCCCCAATACCAGGATTTTGCTTCATCTGAAAAGTTCAGCGCCATTGTTGCATGCTGTTCTTAGGTCAGAGTATTGTGTATGTGTGTGGGAGTGTGTTTGTGTCTTCCTTGGTTCCCCTTTGCATTCATTTTACAGGTGCTTTTCAGTTTACACGTGTGTTGCATTGTGCTGAATCGTGCCTTTGTTGGCTGGGTTTGAAAGCAGACGCTTGTCAAGCAGCAGGGTGTGTTCGATGACATGCAGGCTTGCTTGGTTGCAAGCTGTGAAAGTCATTCTGCTTTTGGGGCCTGATCTGGGGTTGGGCTTCGGTGTACGGGCCCAACCCCCCAGGCAGTCGGGCGTCGATTGGTGGTCCGGGCATCGTTTTTGCAATTTATCGAATATTATACTATAATTTATTGTAAACGCTTCGCGTTGCTCGCCTCGGCCAGTCCGCTTTTGGCTGGCTTTGAGGTATACGCCGTGCTTTAGTTTACCTTAAAGTCGTGTGTTTGTTACACTAAGTGAGTCGGTGCCAAAATGCGTGAGTTGGTTTCCAAGCTAGTGGGTGGGTGCATGTCTGTGTGTTTCCACATGGGAGCCAGAACAAGAGCGAAATTGACTGGTTGGTGTTGACCGGAGTTGGACATGTTTTTGGAGGTGGCTCGACAGGTTTCTAGAGGGGAGTTTGATTGGGAGATAATTTTAAGGGGGGATCCGATTGGTTTCTGGAGAGGAATTTGACCGGTGTCCAGAGATGTGACCGGAGTTGGGACCGATTGGGACCGGCTTTGAGAGGGGGAATTTGACCGGGATTTGGATTTGTCTAGATGGGAAGTTGACCGGTCTCTAGGGTGATGTGACTGGTTTCTCACACTCTAGAGAGGAATTTGAGGATTTGGCCGGTTTCTACCAGGATTGGGGATCAGCCCCGGGGCTTCGAGGCTTGCTTCAGGTGGACTGGAGGGGGGGAAGAGTCTGACCGCGGCCGTACTACAGTTCTACATGTTTGTTCTTTCTGCACATTTCGTCAGCATCACTATCTGGAGTGGCCAGAGTTGCCAAACACCATCGCCGCAGCTTCAACACCGGGCTCACAGTGCCAATCGGTGAACATACGGTCCTGTCTTCGCGCTGGTTCTTCGACTTGCGCGGTTTTTGGACAGATCAGGGCGAGGCTGGGTGGGGAGTCCGGGCAGAGGTTTCTAAAGGAGTGAATCCCTTCCCCAATTGTCAAATCCGCCCCTGTATTTAACAAATTTTGTTTTTGGCAAAAATTCAAACAAAGACCTCCCCTTTTTTCAAAATCCCAACCATACTGCTAAAAATCCACGCCCCTTTTACTTTAAATTACCCCAACACTAAAGCGATGCTACACTTCAGACCGCCCTTAAAGGTGTTTTAGCTGGCCCTCCGAGGCCAGCTGGACATTTTGCTCGAGCAGCCCTGGGGAATTTGTCATGAATTTGGTGTCTCGCAGAGTATGTCTTGTGTTCGTTTTAAAAAAAGGGGGCAACCGGGGTTGAAACTGATTCATTTAAAACCGTGATTCAGGACCCAAGAGTTTCCATGTCGGGATGCTAGCTGGAGTCCATTGAGCCCGATAGGTGAGGCGAAACATGGATGGCCCTGGTTTTAGTTTGGTTCTAATCATTTACCAGTAGAACCCGTGGATTTTTCCAATGGTTCCCATCGTATGGCCGCGAACTCTACATTGAGAGTCTTGGCGCAAAGGACTGCAAAAGGAGCCTTTCGAGAAGGTTTCCAAGAGGTCACCGTGGCTGGCCCTTGAGTTGAGTTCTGCCCCCCACAGAAACGGGTTTTTGTTTTGTTTCGAGCAGCCGGAAGGTCCGAAGGTTGGTCGAGTCGCAGGTGCCATGGCGCCTTCGAACAGCATCACGTGGCCAGAGAGCGGCCCCTGACCCCGTCTCGCCCAAAAAAAGAACCAGCCCCGCAAAGAACGGATTTTTGGGCGCCGCAGTGACGGCGCCACAAAAACACCTATGCGGCCATCATGAATGAAGAGCAAGAACCACGTTTTTTGGTTGGTCCCATGCCCCCAACTGCACAGATCTGAACATGGTGGTTCGGAACCGCGTGTGTGCCCATAGCTTGGATTGACGTGACCTGTCGAGTCTGCGGAAGTTGGGGTTCGAAAAGACCAACTTTTCTGTCGATCTTGCAGAGAAAGCGCAGTTGACAAGTCGGGGTTGCCGATGTGTTAAAGCTTGTCTTGGCCTGCAGCCCAAGAGAATGGTCTGCAGAAAATCCTCCGTCGGAACCGAACAAGCAACTTCAAGACCAGACAGACAAAGAGAAAGCAATTGTCAAAGCCAAGATTTGTCGTGAACACTTGTCAACACTTGTTCTTCCATGTTCGCCTGATTCTGGCCATCGCCTCGCACAGTCCTGAATTCCTAGATGGTATGTTTGGAAGATCTATTTAGTGGTAAGCGACAATCCAAAAAGCCTCCACTTTTTCCTCCTTTTTTTTTGGGGGGGGGATTCATTCGGTGTTTTGTTTTCCTAGGTATGTGGGGGGGGGGGGGGGCCGCCTTTGTCGGGGAAGACCTAACTCGGGCCCAGTCTTGGAGTGTTTCGGGGTGTCGCAGGTACCGCAGCACGCGGGGCGGTGCCAAGGGCCTGAGCTTCGAGCAGGCGGTTTTCGAAGGACGGGGATGGGAGATGCGCCGGTGATGTGTGCCACTGGTTGGATGCTGATAGTGGGCTTAGTTTGGCATTTTAGGGGGGGAAGTTCCCTATCCTATTTCTCCCTTTTTGTGAGAAACCCATTGGGTGGTCCCTTCTTGGGCACAACTTCCATTTGCTGAACTGAATATGTTTTATTTCCCCTGTTGGTTTTAAAGGGAATCTATCGCTACTGGGCATACTCCTTTTCCGGGAAATGGAAGACGACCGTTCAGAAGCCCAACGGAATGATTCGATTCCCCAACTAAATACCAAGACACATTCTGGTTTCAACCATGGTTTGAAATCTGTGCAAAATGGATTTGTCCCACAATGTGGTCGTTATGATTGGTTGCTTTACTTGGGGTTAACTAACGGGACGCTCATCCACCTATATAGGGAGGTTCTGCTGCAATGCACTGATATCTATGTGCCAATGACCTTTTCTGTCACCAATAAACACAATATATCTTACCACCGTTTGGCCCATTTTCAGCCAAAGATACTAGCAAATTACCCTTTGAACCCTTGCGCGCTATCAGTGGATGCACATTTGGATCAACTAGCGCGGTTCAAAATGAATTTGGTGGCTGGCAACGTGCTTGGGGACAAACCTTCACTGTTGTTGGCATGTTTTGAGGTTTTAGTTCTTTGGTTCTGTTCATAGTGGGGGGCTGCAAACAGCACAATTGCTTATCATTCTAGGGGTTGCGAAGGACGGTGCGGCCTTGATTTCCAGGTCTTTAGGCCGCAAGGGTCAATGAAAACTGTGTTTTGTTCACGTGTTGTTTCTTCATATGGCAAAACGGCCGAATGGCCGTTTGGCTCAAGTTTTGCCCTCCCGTCAGGGGGGTCACGGATTCTCGTTGCGCCAGCCATAGTGCGGCTGACTGCTTCGCCGTCGGGAAAAGGCTCCTGGCGTCGCCGTGGTTAGGCACTGGGAGGTGGGCGGAGCATCTCTGCGTGATCGTCCTGGGCTTGGACACAAACTTCCCTTCTTCAACTTATTTCCCAACCTCCCCAAACTTGATCTTCATTAACTGTCACTCCCACAATCTGGTCACCGGCACCTTCTACATTGTGCTTTGGGACTGGGTTCTTTTGGTACTTCGTGAACCACGTGTACCTCTTTGATTCCCTGGGCTACTTCGTGTTCGCCCAAAACCGCAGGTTATCAGCCGTACCAGCTAGAAGCTGGGGCTGGTGATCCGGTTGCGGGACGTGACCCGCTACCTGCTCCCATCGCCTACTTGTACGAGCAATGGCGTCCCCCGGAGCTTCACATCGTGGGCCGGGCTTCGTGGATGACGAGGCCAACGCCCTTCGCGGCAACGCCGCGCCTGCTGCCCCCGGCTTAGACAGCCGGCTGTGGCCCATTCCCCCGATGGTGGGCGCAGAGCCCAATCCCGGGGTGATCACGGACGATTGGATCCTTTCTCAGGTCGTGTTTGATGAGGATGCGGAGGCCCCTATCCCGGCGGCAGTGCTTCAGATCGAGGACGGACCCCCTCTAGAAGAGGCTGAGGTTCCTCCAAATCAGGTGCCCTCGTCGATTTCGCCTACTGTTCCATTCGTGGCGCTCCAGATCGAGGACCGGTCTGTCCATCATGCTGCTCATCCGGAGCCGGCTCAATCATGGTCCCTTACATGGGATCAGTTTGACCAGCTCCTCGGCAGTGGATCGCAGGCTACACCGCCTGATTTCGGTCGGCTTGACTTTAACTCGGGTGCCTCCGTTTCGGTTGGAAATCTGGATTTTCAATCCCTTTTTGATGCTGATTGGAGGTCTCAGCCTTCCCGAATGGACGGACCTTTTGATGCCCTGCCTACGCATGAGCCTACACAGGGTTTTCCTCATGATGGAGAAGATGACCCCATTGAAGATTTCTCCCCCTCTCATGTTGCAGGTTCGGCCCAACCCGAGGTGAGCAAACGGGCGATTGAGGATTGGCCGCAGATAGCTGGCCTTCCTCCCGTCTCAGGTTCATCCGATATTGACATCATTCATGATCACCCCAGTCCGGCGGATATGGACTTCATCCCTGATGCAGTATCATCTCACCTGTCAGGTACCCGCGACCGGACTGCGGACCGCTACAACGCTGGTCCAAATCCATCGCTTTCCTCAGGTACCCGAGGTCGAGATGCGAGCCGCTACAGCGCGGGCTCAAATCCGCCAAATCGGACATCAGGTACTGGTCGATCGGATGCGGGACGCGAAACAGCAGGCCCAAATCCCTCCTCCTCTTCGTCAAGGAGCCATGCCGGCCTCTTCGCGGCGTTCAATCGGCGCCAGACTCGAAAAGAGTCCGCCCCCGACGTCATCGACCTCGAGGAGCAGTCCAGCCACCGTACCAGTGATGGATCCGAGCAGGATACACCTGGTATTGGCTCTACTCCCTTTGACCTCCTCGACATCCCCTTCCATCAGCCTCCCAGGAGAGGAAATGAAGATGATGAAACCATCCCTGGGATCCTTGATGTAATCGATGAGGCCGAGGTCACACCAGAGAGACGAACGACATCGCTCCCGCCGAGCCGCGTTGCCAAAGTTCTTTCCCCTAAGCCACTCAATGGTGACGTTGCTCAACGGCTTGATCTCACTCAACCTGATCCAGATCAAGCTCAACTTCGCGGATCATCATCATTTGATAATGTGTCGGGACAAACCGGCACTGACTCACGAGCTACAAAGAGGAGCTCTGAGTCACCCGAGAGACGTGAAGCTGCTCTGCGATTGCGATCTAATCCCCCCGCTCATCACGACCCTATTGACGTTCCTATCCACTCTGCGGGGTCTGGGCTCAGCTCCAATGCCCCGATGTCTGAGAAGGAGACTGATGACGGGATTAACTCTACGCCCAGGAACCGAAGACCTGGACTTAGCACTATTGCCCCTGGATATGGAGGGCTTCCTTCAAATCAGCCGGTCAACGACTCCCTCGTCCCCGCATTCTTCCAAATCGGAACTCCGGGCTGCACTCCCGACAGGGAAGAGAATAGGCGCGGAGATCATGACGCTGATAGTCGTCCTGCTCCGTCTGCTTCCACGAGTGGCGGTCATCCTGTTGCATCTGAGCTTCAACGACTGCTTCTCGCGATCCACAACGAGGTCAAGGGATGCAAGGCCGAAATCCAGGGATGCAGAACAGAGATTCGGTCATGTAGGGATGATATCAACGCTTGCGTCGGTGAGATCAAGAAGATCAATAACCGTGTTGATGCCTTCGAGAAGAAGGTTGAATCATCTTTCTCTGCCGTTGCCGGAACTCTCTCAAAACACGAGGCCAAATTCCGTGATTTCCACGAGTGGGTCGCCCGAAGCGAGAAGGAGATGAATGAGCGTTTCAAGATGTATGATGAGAGGTATGACTCGATCGTCATATCCGCTGCTGAACTTCGCGAGCAAGCCGAATCACTTGAGAACGTCAAGGTCCAGCTCCTTAGATTCTCTGAGATCGGGGCCCTTGAGGCCGAGATTCGGAAAATCAAGGACGAAGTCGAGGCAAACTCTCGCAGTGTCATCGAAATCGAAGGAAACATCTCAAGGGAAAGAACCATCCGTGGGAACGTCGAGACGTATATACAGCATCTCGTTCCTGCGACCGACCTGAAGCAGTTCAGTGATAGGGTCTCCGGAGCCCTCAATGAGAACTCAAAGAAGCAGGAAGAGTTCAAGCTTCAATTGTCCCGTGTTGCTAAATGTGTCAAGGATCTTCATGACAAGGGTTTAGGCCCCAATCTGAGGGACATGCAAGAGCAGTTTATGAAGCTTGTGCTGAGGGTCAATGAGATCAACATGCAGATCGCCGAGTTGAGGGAACAACCTCCCGCTGCCTGCGGATCTTCTAGTGCTGGCGCTGCTTCGACCGCCGGAACGGGGTCATGGGAGAAATCTGGAGACACTGATCCCTTAACTCAGGGAAGGACTCCTAAAGGTTCTCCTCCTCGTGCTGTTCGCACCGTCAGCTCGGCGAGGCCTCCTCCACCTCCACCTCCTTCAGGGCCACCCCCACCATCACCATCAGCCCCCAATTTCGGCAGGGATCCCTCTAGAACGAGGGCCATTTCTCGGGCTGCCGGCGCTGCCCCTGACAACCGGGCCAGGTGTGCTCATGAGGAGCCCGGCCATCCACAACATCGGGAGCCTCGCTATCCGTGCCGGAGTTGCGGCAAGTCAGTCTGTGAAGACTGCTTTGACCATGATTGTAACTCATGTTTCAAGTGCAGCGATCAATTCCCTAGGTGCCGCGCATGCAGGGGGAGAGGGGGGAGACACGGGCTTGTGAGGTGTCTCATATGCAAGGACGAGTACTGCGATCAGCACATCGCTTCACCTGACGACGTGCGTCGTTTTGGGTCGAATGTTCGACCTATTTGCCTCGGTTGTCTGAGAGCTGACCCCGATGGGAAAACTAAACATCGCGGTCCCAGTGCGGGGCCTGAAGGACATGACTTCATCCCTGATCATAATCAGCATGATGGCACTGCTCCTGATCCTGGATCCGGGCCATCACGTGGGAATCCGTCACATCGGAGTCCTGAACCGCACCAAGGGAGCTCTGGTTTCTGTTCCCACGCCGGAGCTGCCGGGCCAATGCCACCAAGGTCAATGTCTTCGCCCGTGATCGGGCGAGCAGCTCCGAGGGGGACTATAAACACATATCCCGGGTGTTCCCCTACGGGGGGGATTTTCACCGGTCAGGTTGAGCATGGAACATCTCAGGGAGTCATTCGCGGGAGATATGGACCTGACGCTGCTGTGACAAATCAGCAGAATTCACAGCCTCACCACGGAGTACAGGATAACTCTGGCGGTTCGACTGGTTTCTCTCTTCCACCAGGACTCGGTAAGGGTGTGCATGGCGCCAGTGGTGTCGGCGGTATTGGAGCTCCCGATCTTCGCCGATCCTCCGCTGAGGAGAGGGTCTGCCCTCGATGCAACATAAATGTCAAGACCAGCATTCCCGGGACGCCCCCATG